ATAGTGCCATCTTTCTCATATGCACCTCTGACCCTGCTCTAAAACCTCCATGGCCTCCCTAATTGCTCTTGTATTAAGTGATCCTCAATCTTTTCTCAAAATCCTTGAAAACATTGGCGAATGTGTTATGCTTTTTCTCTCCTGGCGATTTTGTTCATTCATTGCTTTACCTACTATAACATCCAGTCCTACCCTTTCCTGAGCAGCTATCTCATGTACCCTTCCTCTAAGCAGCCTTTCATGATTTTGCCAAATAGAGATTACCTCTTCTTTCTTTGATTTCTCCATGGTATTTTGGTCTGTACTCTTTTATTACATCAGTCTTACACAGCAGCGTCTTATACTGAATTATGTGCCTAAGGTTTTTTTTTTTCCTGCTTGTTTTTCCTGTTTTGTTTACCGTTTAAATACAAAGATTTCTGTTATCTTTGGATCTCATCCTCTCACAGAAGGACTTCAAGTATTTTTAATTAATTTATTCAATTGCCTTAAATTCAAGAAATATCTTACAAATTGTACTCCATGTATGAGTCTTGTAATTTCATTCTTTTAGGGAATGATTCTTATTCTAAGAAACTAGTGTGGTCTGTGGTTTAGAGTCACGGTTTAAGTTGCCCTTAGGAAGAATGAAAAACAGCTGGTGTCCAAGGAGCTGTGGAAATTTGTCAAAAAACTAATCGTAGAACAGAAGCCAAGAGTTTGACTTGCATATCTTAAGCTCTATCTATATTATTATTTTTTGAAAGGATACAGTGTTTGGAAAATCATGGCCAATATACCCAAAGAAGATATTATACACTAAAATATGAATGTCAACACTCTAGTGTTCAAATTGTGTCCACTTAGTTTACTCAAGCATACACTAACGTAACCAGGTACTTAAAGAGGATAAAATCATTTAATTTTAAGGCGCTTTTTGTTTTTTAGAATTTTGAAAAACTTCTTTCGTATTTTAGGTGCACAGGATAAAATGTTATTATAAATGATGAGCGAACTTTAAATATAAATAATAATATCAAAATTGATTCAAGTTATAAACATGTAACAATTCATAGGGATTTCAAATTCACCAAATAATGGTTGATTACTGTCTATACACAAGAAATTTCCCAAGAAAATAGTTATACAAAGGTGAATAAACATAGACTGAGCACCCTGAAAGCTTAAAATTAGGAAGATTGCAAGAAATATACAAATAACTGTAAATTGAGTCTGATTTTAATAAGAGCAGGGTGATAAACGTAATAGGCTACAGTGGTTCAAAAGAAGGAGAAATCAAATACGACTGTGAATGTAAGAAACATCAGTGAAGGACACAACATCCTTACATAAAACTTGAAGGGTAGGATTATAAATATTGGAATAAGTTAAGGAGGAGACATTAGAAGGTGAGGAAATGGCATGGGAAAAGGCTCAGAGAGTAAAGTTGTGAATGAAGGGGATTGCAAATCAGGCTGGTGCAATTAGAAACAGCCCTGATACCAAGGGGGAAAGGGGTGGGGTGGGAGGAATTGGGAGACTGGGATTGATACATATATATTATTGATACTATGTATAAAATAGACAACTGATGGGAACATACCATATAGCACAGGGAACTCTACCTAATGCACTGTGGTGACCTAAATGGGAGGGAAGTCCAAAAGGGAGGAGATATCTGTATGTGCATGGCTGCTTCATTTTGTTGTGCAGTGGAGGCTAACACAACATTGTAAAGCAAGCATACTCCAATAAAAGTTAATTTAAAAAAAAATAGAAAGAGCCCTGAGCTGAAGACCATCTTCTATGAGGCTCCCATAGTGATATCACCCACTGATGGGGACAGTTTGAACACAGGGCTGGTAGCCATACTGAGGTAAGTGTCCTAAGCTTTTGAGGTCCATATTTGAGGCTAGGAATTGAACTCACTTTCGAATTGTTCACAATCCAAAGCAATGTTAAACAAATTAAAATAAAAGTAACAGTGTTCAACTGAGATCTGTATTTTTCACCTGGCCTGCAGGTTAAAGTCACTGACATTCCTGCTCTGACCTGTTAGATTTTATTTCTCTCAAAGTTCCTCTGAGTCTGCATGAGGGATCCAGTGAATTATTTCAGTTGGTCAATTTACTCACAGAGACTTAGGATTTCACTAAATTGAGCACATTTTTCTAACTGAAGTAATCTGTTCCTCTCCCCCCACCTCAGGGAGTTTGCCCACTCTCTTCCCTCTGTCTGGAATGGTCTTCCCTCATCTATCAGTGTGGCTTACTGCCTCACCTTCCTCCAGGACATCTCAGGGAGCCCTTCTCTGACCACACTATTAAATGTCCCAGCCTCAACCTGCTTTATTTTTCTTCATAACCTTATCACCTTCTAACATACTATGTAATTTATTTATCTTGTTTATTGCCTGATTGCCCACCCAGGAGGCCAAGGATTGTCTATTTTATTCATGAATTTATCCTAGGTGCTTAGAATAGTACCTAACATATAGTAAATGCTCCATAAATATTAAGTGAATAGATACATGTGTGATGAAGTGTATGCAGTATTTACATGATAATTTGAGACAATGTTACTTTATAGAGCTTAATATCCTGACTACTGTTTCTCGTTAACTTTACTAAGTGAAGAAGGATTTATAAAGCATTTACTATATAACAAGCACTGTATCTGGTTCTTACAAAATAAATTATTATGTAGTAGCTCCCATATTTGAAAAGCAAATAATAAGAAAGGAATGACAAATAGAATATGAAAACTATATGATTTCAGCTGGCATTGCAAAGAAGGAAACAGTGATATCCTGACATCTCCAGCAGTTTCCCCCAATGTAGTATTTGCTCGGTCTAGAGAATGAAAAGATGCTCCCCAGTACAAGCATAAGCTTTGAAATTACACAGACCTTAACTCTAATTCCAATGATACCGTTCATTATCCAAACCACCTTCACCTAGTCATTAACTTCTCTGTGTCTAAGTGATTTCATTGGTAAAATGAGGATCGAAATCTTAACCTCACAGGGAGACTGAGCTATCAAATGAGATCATCTGTGGAAACAATTAGCCAAGTCCTTGGCACATAGAAACAATTTAATAAATGCATGTGGAACGAATTAATTCTTGATCAGTGGGGAAAAGTATAACTAGAAAAATGTGGCTTTTTAAAATATATTTCTACTGCGTTGTACCCCACATATTATTCATGATGATCCCTCTTCCCTCAATATTATTGAAATAATAAATTGCATTATATATTGATTGGTTATCATATAAATTATTGTTCCCATTTCACAGAGAAGGAAGTTGAGTCTTATGCATATTAAGTAACTTGCACAAGGCCACAAAGTACACAGCAGAGTTAGGATTTCACCCCACATGGAGTCCTCTCCAAAGCCGGTTCATTTGTCTTGATCCTTACCTTAGTCTGCATAGCTATGTGATTGCCGCCAGAAAGTATTCCCTAAACCTGCAGTCTGGATAACATACCTTTTTGAGCTCACATAGAATCTTATGCATATTTCTCTCATAATGCATGATGTTTGAAAACATGTTTGTTCCTCTCCTTTCTATACCTGGGCATCACCTTCTAGAAACACCTGTTCAATGTGAGTAATTGTTCCTATTTTTAGATCTTGAACAGGTTTTCACCAGGCACTTTCACGGTAAGCTCACAGAAACGCATAAAAACTAACGTTTATTGAACATTAGTTTTCTGTAGGCTCTGGTCTAATTGTTCTAGTCCTCAACTCCATACATTCCTCATAACAACCCCATATGGCAGATACTACCTTTATCCTCATATTAGAGATGATGAAAATAAAACACAATTAGGTTAATGAATTCACTCAGCTTATATTCCAGGGCTGGGGTTTGAACCCAAACATTTAGATTCCAGACTACATATTCTTAATCATGAGACTATATTGCCCCTCATACACCAGGACTGATGACATCTTCTTTTCCACTTTCATTTAAAAATCCTAGAAAAATGCATTTTCATAGAGTCTAAATTGTACTTCTATGAACCATGACTCTCTTACATTTGCAAGTCTGTATTTTTCTTGTGACACTGATTTCTACAATTAGTCAAACTTTAAAAGCTTATTTAAATAAAATAGATACATTTAGAATCTGACAGAAACCCCCAAATTTTAGGTCAGCACTTACAGAGTGTTGTTAGTGGTACTGCCATACCCACCCCAACTTAGAAATACCATACTGGTGGTCTTCATTGCCTTAAACAGGCTTCAAGCTGTGCTCTTGGAAGGTGCTGGAAGTTAAACCATAACCTTGTATAAATTCAAAACCAAAAACAAAGAAACTTTAAAAAGACATCTATCCTTTTAATACCAACTTTTTAAAAAAACTTTCCAAGTAAAATGATTTAAACACAGAGAGCCTATTTTTTATTTTTAAGAGAGAGCAAAGAATGTGTTCATGGCAAGTTGGAACAGTGTGCAAATGTGCTGACTTCACTGTTATCTGAACGACAAAGCATTAAATCACAAGAAGGAAAAAGTCAGCATGTTCTCTGAGAATACAAATAGATTAGTGTCAGGAAGAGCTTTGTCCAAGAAAGGGAAGAGACACCTACCCAGAGAATAATTCATGCACATGAAACCTATAATTAAAAAAAATCATTTTCAAAAAATATTTTAGCTGATAAATATGACTATTAGATAAACAAAGCACAGAAAAAGTTCCATGTGAATTTTTTTTTTAAGTGGACCTTCCAAATGTGATCAGTCATCACACCCCACTCTTTACCTCTTTCTTATATAAGACCTGATTCATTAATGGTTATGGAACTCACACAAAAATATTAGACCCCTTTCCTCCCTTTTAATTATATGATGGAACAGTACTTAAGTTTACCAGGCACTTAAGAACATTCCCTAAGTTAAAAGGTGTAAAAAACCCCATATCCCTTAACATATGAATTCTTTAGATTCTCCTAATGTACAATTTAAGTAAAACGTCCTCACTCAGAATTCAAAGAAAACAAGGTTCTCTTACCATATATTCCATGTTTGCTGCTGGTGGGAACACTTTGCCCCGAACTTGGTTATGATAATCAAGAATGGCGATCATGTCATTCTGCGAAATGTAGCGCTTCCGCCTGGCTTTGGGGATGTCCGCAGAATCTAGTTGTGCTTTTAGAGCTGCTTCAATATCAGTGAAATTATTGGTTGGCGGGGATGAGTCAGTGGAATTGAGTAAGATGACGGCACTTGCTTCACAGAGAAGGGAGAACAGGAGTGCACTGCTGATGGCAGAGATTGCTATCATTTTGAGAGGTGGAGAGGGAGAGGCCACAGAGTTTGCCTTAAAGCAGAAAGGTAGAGTTAGGGTCTATGAAAGGAAAAAAAAAAAATAGGGCCAGAGGGTATGAATTTACAAAATCATTGCTTGACTTGACTTTCTTCAAAAAAATCCAAGCAAATGCTGAACTCAAGCCTAGAAGACAACCTGTAGTGGTCTTTATACATTTTACTTGGTGTTATGAAGCAGTCCCCTAAGAGGAACTTCCTATAGCTAGAGAAAAATAAACAGCATGGCTACTAACCCTAAAATGAATGTGAGCCATTTACCCCAAACGCCTGAGCCACAGAATGCATTACTGCATATTTATTTTCAGAGGGAAATCTTTAGGAATTGAAATTCATCTTGAGAGTGAAAAGGAAAAATGCATCACAGGTAATAACAGAGAATGTGCTGATAATGTTCCCCAGACATATATGGACACCAAATAATAGAACAGATAGAAAAAAAAAGTTATAATAATCCAATCTCATTTCTAAAAAAATTAAAATGTGAGCTACTTTAAAAGCAATGCATGCAAAATAAACTTGTTGAGCTAAATAGCTTACCTCTGCACAATGCCAAAATGAATATAGTATTCTTCCAAAAATTTAAAGTTCTTTGCTAGGTTGTAGCATGAACTCTTGTAAGAGGAGTGTGTCTTATTACAAACTCTCAGAGCAAAACTCTGCAAGGTTTGAGTGCTGCTGGCTACAGGAGCAGCTAACAGCTTTTATATGTCACAGTCTGCAACGTCCAGAAAGGGCAGTCTTTCCTAGGGTCTCTCTTAGCCAAAATCAAAGGGGAGGGGTTTTGGATAGAAAAAACAGTGATTGGGTGGCAACCTTTTTATGTGGGTGGTGAGGAAATTGAGTCACACCCACAGCTTACAAAGTACAAACCATAAAAGACAAACCCTTTTTTCTCTGAGCTTCCACCTTTTCTGTGACTGGTTAATTTTCCTCATTTAATGCTTTCTAGTTCCTGGTTCCCATACAAAAAAAGGAGAAAAAAAAAGGGACTGTGAGTTTTTGAAAACACAGAAGGTTGAGTAACAAGCAGTACATTTTTTTTTTTTTAAGACAGTAAATGACATGGGAGCTGAAAAGAGCAAGCTGATATTAACTCAAAAGATCAGCTCACATAGTTAATCTGGGTGGCCACAAATATGATTCAAAAGAGATGCCAAGCAAATCAGTAGTAGTCAAACTATAGCATATGATATTGGGATAATAGATGCTCAAGTGGTTGCACTTTCTGTCTCCATGTGGCTTTATTCCTCTAATTTTTATATTTAGTCTCTCTCTCTCTCTTTCTCTTGTTTCACTCTCTCTCCTTTTTTTCCTTTCTCTACAGAGAGGCAGCAAATTACCTGCCTTTTACCTGCCTTGTATAGAATGCAAATAGAGAAGCTTATGACAAATGACAGCAGCCAAGATAACATCTGTTTCAGGTTTAGAAGCATAGAGTTGAAATTTTAAGCAAAGAGTAGCCCAGCCTCTCAGGAAGCATATTGGAGGGCACAGCTCCGAGGCCATGAAGAATGTCACAGCAGCAGCTGCAGCTGTCAACCGTCAGAAGTGCCTTCCTAGAAAGATGCCATTGGAGCAAAACCTGTGTCTGGCAAGACAAGAGCCAAGAATGTGACTATTAGGGCAATTTGTAACAAAAGGACCCTCACAAATACCCTGTGTCATGAGAACTTTAACAAAATGTGGAATATTCCCAGTCTGTGGCAACAGGAATCTTAGAAACTACACATTATTCAGTTAAACTTGCGTAACGTACACCGACTAGTCTAGTTGGTCATTGTGTGTTGCCTCCTGCATGTTTCAGCAGGAGGAGTACTACGTGGATTTATATTTGTCAGAAAGGATGATCATGTGGTAAGAAGCACACCAGGCTGGGAGCCAAGTTTCCTGGGCTATATTCCCAGTCGTGTCTCTAGCAGTATGTGTGGCCTGACGCACATAGTTTAGCTCTTCACTGGTGCATCTAAAAATGGGAGGGAAAAGGTGTGTATTCTATGTGTATTCTATTCTTCATCAAATTCCTTATGAGAGCAGGACAGTGTTTGAAACTGAAAGTGCCACTGAATTTCAAAGTTCGGTGTGGAGATGCATTCTTTGATGTTGATAACATGTGCCAAAGTTCAGGTTTTGCTATATTTTCATGAGCCTTAAGTTCCTAACTAAATTCGAGTAATTTGAGAAGAGCTCAAGGTGCAATACTGAAAGCTGTAAATAGGAATTAATGAATACTGTTAAATTGAAAAGGCAAGAACATCTAATAGGAGCACAGAAAGTGAGCATGAGTATTATGAAACATCAGAGCAGCTTCAGGGAATGCACGTGGCTGCTCACAGCTGCCTATGTTTAACAACTGGAGCTGTCCAGCTAGGGTCCCACCCCTTCAGAAAGGACTCATGGCACATTGAATGAATCTCAGGGATGCTGCGTCAGAGATTCCTGAATCGAATAGAAGATTAGATGACATATTCTCTGTGGGCCATCCAACTCAAAGATCCAAGACCTTTTGAGAAATAGTGCCAGCGCTGATTAGCCTATACTTTTCAACATATCTCTTATAGCTGTCTAGCATACAGGAGACTAAAGGACTTTTAATGCCTAAGCAGCAGACATGAATCTTTCTTTCTCCAGGGTGGCTGAGTTCTTGCTTAGAATCTCATAAAAATCAACCATTGCTTTCACGGTTACCTCTTTGTCATGTATACAAAGAGATATTGTTCATCTATTGAAGTTTGACTTGAGGTACTTCCACAGGGATGAAAATGTGTCCCTCGAGAAACTTGTCTGAACCATAAATGGATTTCCTCTACGAGGAAGTGGAGGGATGGAGGAGGAAAAAGAGAAAGAAGGAATTTCTGAGATGGACCTAAGCATGCCCAATTACATGAGGACAGAGATGATAGTTACTTAATCCTGAGACCCTGAGGGATGTCAATGATTTCAGATGTCTTTCAACAAACATGAATTATAGTGTGGAATTTCAGACTATTAAGAAAACCCCCAAGGGTATGGAATCATAAAAGAAAAGACCTGTGGGAGGAGAGTTAAGAATTCTGCTTCCAAGCAGACATTATTGCCAGAAGAAGTATTTTAAATGCTTTGGAAGTCATTTTAATTTTAAAATACTTGCAAAATTAAGAGGCATACATCCAAGTTGTCAGTAAAAGAACTGCTAATGAACAACTAACAATGAGGTGGTTCTTTATGAGATCTCTTCTTGAAAAAGAACATTGATGTGTATAGAAGCATTTAGGGGAATGCTTGCCAATATGGACAGAAAGGAAATGCAGTTATATTACTGAGAAGAAATATGTAAACAATTGGCAGCAACTATTGTATACCTTGAAACCTGTGAGAAAATGGTTGCGATTTTAAAATTGAAATCAGATACATTATGTATCCCAGAATGGCACAACTGCTTCAGCAAAGGTACTGTGAGTGTTTGTGTGTGGATACAGATACACATATGGTTTTAGTCTAAAACATTTCTAATCAATGGAGAACAAAGAAAGAGTTACACGAAAATGAGTGAAATGATTCAGTTCACTTTTTAGGAAGGTAACAAAAGACAATGTTGATAATGAATGACAGGAGAGGCACTAGAGTAATACTAGGAAAAGATTGTGGAATTAACTTTAAGCAGTCATAAAAATGTTTAAAAGGGGGGAGAAACTGGCAAGACATTTCAGGCATAAAAATCCACAGGTTTGGCCAAGCTACGGATGTACGAAGCAAGGTGAGAAACAATAAACAATGGATAATTTGGATTTCTGTCCTGGAAATGACAGAAGAAAGTTATAATTTCTATTTATATGGCACAACACAAAACACTGTCACACACACTCGGCCACCTGAACCAAGATGGTGGAGTAGAAGGGCGTGCTCTCACTCCCTCTTGTGAGAACACCAGAATCACAACTAGCTGCTGGACAGTCATCGACAGGAAGACACTGGAACTCACCAAAAAAGATGCCCAACCTCCAAAGACAAAGGAGAAGCCACAATGAGATGGTAGGATGGGCACAATCACACTAAAATCAAATCCCATAACTGCTGGGTGGGTGACTCACAAACTGGAGAACACTTATACCACAGAAGTCCACCAACTGGAGTGAAGGTTCTGAGCCCATGTCAGGCTTCCCAACCTGTGGGTCCGGAAATGGGAGGAGGAATAGCTAGGGAATCAGACTTTGAAGCCTAGTGGGATTTGATTGCAGGACTTCGACAGGATTGGGGGAAACAGAGACTCCACTCTTGGAGGGCACACACAAAGTAGTGTGCACATTGGGACCCAGAGGAAGGAGCAGTGACCCCATGGGAGACTAACCAGACCTACCTGCTAGTGTTGGAGAGTCTACTGCAGAAGCCGGGGGTGACTGTGTCTCACCATAAGGACAAGGACACAGGCAGCAGAAGTTCTGGGAAGTACTCCTTGGTGTGAGCCCTCCCAGAAACTGCCATTGGCCCCAACAAAGAGCTCAGCAAAAACCACATTCACAGAAAGATAGACAAGATGAAAAGGCAGAGGGCTATGTACCAGAAGAAGGAACAAGATAAAACCCCAGAAAAAAACTAAATGAAGTGGAGATAGGCAACCCTCCAGAAAAAAGAATTCAGAATAATGATAGTGAAGATGATCCAGGACCTTCGAAAACAAATGGAGGCAAACATCGAGAAGATGCAAGAAATGTTTAACAAAGACCTAGAAGAATTCAAGAACAAACAAACAGAGATGAACAATACAATAACTGAAATGAAAACTACACTAGAAGGAATCAATAGCAGAAGAACCGAGGCAGAAGAACAGATAGGTGACCTGGAAGACAGAGTGGTGAAATTCACTGCTGTGGAACAGAATAAAGAAAAAAGAATGAAAAGAAATGAAGACAGCCTAAGAGACCTCTGGGACAACATTAAACGCAACAACATTCACGTTATAGGGGTCCCAGAAAGAGAAGAGAGAGAGAAAGGACCTGAGAAAATATTTGAAGAGATTATAGTCGAAAACTTCCCTATCATGGGAAAGAAAATAGCCACCGAAGTCCAGGAAGCACAGAGAGTCCCATACAGGATAAACCAAAGGAGAAACATGCTGAGACACATAGTAATCAAATAGGCAAAAATTAAAGACATAGAAAAATTATTGAAAGCAGCAAGGGAAAAACAACAAATAACATACAAGGGAACTCCCACAAGGTTAACAGCTGATTTCTCAGCAGCAACTCTACAAGCCAGAAGGGAGTGGCATGATATACTTAAAGTGATGAAAAGGAAGAATCTACAACCAAGATTACTCTACCCGGCAAAGATGTCCTTCAGATTTGATGGAGAAATCAAAAGATTTACAGACAAGCAAAAGCTAAGAGAATTCAGCACCACCAAACCAGCTCTACAACAAATGCTAAAGGAACTTCTCTAAGTGGTAAACACAAGAGAAGAAAAGGACCTACAGAAACAAAGCCAAAACAATTAAGAAAATTGTCATAGGAACATACATATTGATAATTACCTTAAATGTGAATGGATTAAATGCTCCTACCAAAAGACACGGGCTTACTGAATGGATACAAAAACGAGGCTTATATATATGCTGTCTACAAGAGACCCACTTCAGACCTAGGGACACATGCAGACTGAAAGTGAGGGGATGGAAAAAGATAT